ATTTTTGTAGGCTGTGGATGTTCAGTCAAGAGTGTGTGGTCTTTTCCACGATTGTAGAGACATCATGGGAAATAATAACTCAATTTTGGAGAGAACTGTTAAATTTCAATTGTTATTAAAATATTATTATATGCAATTTTTAGATCAATATATTGTAGCATACAAAACGGCTGGCAATGAAAGAAATCAAAGATAAATAAGTAATCATGTTGTTTCAACACAGATATAACCTTGGTGGTTAACTGCCTTAAAAAAATAATAGAAAAATTGGATTTCAATCAAATTGCAAAAATAGAATAAAAAATTACATACACATTACAAAATTACAATACTACAATGTTGAATATTATGTTTTTTTATGAGAAGAAAATGTTGTTGGATAAATTTCAGGCTAACATCTCAAGTTGACTGATTAAACAAAAGTTCAATTTTAATTAATTATACTTTTCTTCTAAAGACTTAGTTAAAGTATAATTAATTATTATAATTAATACGGCCAATTATGACTACTACATTCATATATGGATTAAGATAAAATTTAACTTTCGTATAATTTATAAAATGCCCTGTATTAAAGCAATAAGAGCCAATTTTGAAGAGAAAGGAGAGATCACTTAAAATAATTATTAGGAAACTAATAAGTAATAGAATAATTTGATTCTCTTTTACAAAGAAAGTGGATAACCAATTTTAACGAAACTTTTTTGTGCTACTAGATAAAAAATATTCCGAGTTATTACGTTATTAATATTATTGACGATTTTCTAATTATTGTTATTGTTAATGATTTATTTACTGAAGATTGTCTGCGTTATCTATGGGAGATTATTATATTAGAATTATTTCTGATTACAATGTCAATTGTCGAGACAATATGAACGCGAGATTTTTTGTTTTTTCTTTTCCACAAATATACTTTCGAGGTGTTTTTCCAGTGGCCCAAAACGGGAGAATTCGTTTATAACAAATAACTTTCGTTTCCAAAGTGTAAACAAGAGCGAGGATGCGGTGAAAGCCATCAGCTATGTTTAAATCAAAAATTCCCTTTCCCACCTCTTTCAAAAGCGAAATTCCAAACTGACTTTTAAATCCTTGATTTTTTCTTTTTTTTAAACACAATTATTAGAAATATCGGCTAAACGCGTCTACAGTTGACAAGGCGCACTCATCTTGCATTTCTAACATTTTTCCAGTTTTACGATTGGCCTTGGTCTACAAACGGAAAGAGTTTCCTTCCTAGATGAATAGCAAAAAGAATACGCGATGCAGATGGCAAACCTTGGTGCACGGGTCAAATACCTGAAGAGTGGGCGAGCCGCATTCCGCGGTTCGCATCTAGAAAAATGAAAACGTCAAATGCCATGAAGAATCTTCTAGTTTTTCTCGTATTTACAAGGAACATTGTAAACTTACTTAATTCGTTCTCTTAAATAAACCATAAATTGTAATATGTAAATATTTATTATAAAATCCAAATCAATCTAAAAACATAATTTAAAAAACAAACAACAAATAACCTACTAGTTTATAAATAAAATGAATATAAAACGAAAAATTGACAAAATAAAAACAAATATTTCAAGAAGAAATATAGCTAAAAATCAAAGAAATATTTTTTTCCTCAAGAAACAATTGAAGTGATCAAAATTTAAATTTCATATTACAATAATAATTTTTATGGCCTTCATTCAACCTACATGTTACATGTTTGTAGTTATGGAGGTGTTTTTGAAAAAAAAGCCCATTTGTAAGTATGTCCGGTTGGAAGCAGGGTCGCTGGATTCGAACCCGGGACCTTCACCTATTACGATACTTATCAATATAAGCCCGAATAAGGTGTTTCATGAAATTTATAAACAATAAATTAATTTTGTAATAATTAAAATTTTTATTTTGAACAAAAGTTTTAAATAATTCGGTACTTAATCGTCCGCCTCTTCTTTTTCTGCAAGAACGTGATTCAGGGGCGACATGCAGGAGAAAGCTCTACGGATACATTCTCCAATTGTTATTTTTCTCAGACCTACTTATCTTTAAGCCTTTTTATCCCTAATAGAAAAAAATTGTTGAGGAAAATAGATCACAAAGTATTAGTTTTGTATGTGAAACGATGCAAGATTTTTTAACATAATTATTAGATCAATTAATTGCACTTTTTATCTAAAGTCTTGGTTGAGATGAAAAAATTAGTGTCACGAGCCTATAAGACGAAGCTCGTGGCTTCGAATATCGTTCGTGACACTAATTTTTTCAACCCAACCAAGACATTAGATAAAAAGTATAATTAAGTGAAATAGTTGAATAGGTCAGATTGCTAAACATATACGGATTAATAAATATTAGACTTTACAAAAGTCCTTGTGCATACAACTTTAGAAACTTTTGTGTATGTGGATAACTAACGTTATTTCGTTTACATTAACTTATCCTTTAAACAACGCACCCAACAGCCCATTGGCAATTATAACATTACATGAATATTTCCTAAGATAAAATCGTGCTTCGCGGTCTTGGTAGACTCTACATGTGAAAAAATGGAATAAGAGTGATGACGGCAGCTGAACGAATCTGTGCAATGGAAGGTGAAAGGTAAAACATTGCAATAACGGCAGCGTTTTGGCTGTTTGACGTTCAATTCGTTCAAGGATTTGTCTGTTACCAATAGCGGTTTATCCGCCACAATTGCGGCTATAAATTTGACAAATACTCATAGAAAATCTGGTGTCTGGAATAGACGGCCAAGATTCAATCTTAATGATTTGTTATGCCAAACTATCGAAGTCTGCTGAATCGTTGTTCAAAACCCGAGAAATTGTTTGTCGATGGATGAAGAAGAATCATTGCAAATCATGAAAGCGATTATATTTTCAAATGTACGTAATGGTTACCCAATTAGTGGCTACACCATAGTTTCTCAAGAAAGGGAGCTTCGAGATCTTCGATTTTATTGTACCCTCTGGGTAAAATATTCAATGCTACAGTTTGTGCCAATAAAGTGTAGTAGCGCTTCGGTATGTCCAAAATAACACAAAGCAATATTTAGACCTTGTTGACTGCATTGATTACTGATCATTGTATCATTTAACGATGAACTAGATTATCGACCTGCTGGATACAAGAAGTCTTTTCAGAGGATCTTCGGAAGACGTCAAAACAGAGAAAACTTCCTTACGGTTTTCGCCGAGCTTTCGACAGTTTTATACTGTCATCTTCAGGGCCTGTTTTATTATCATATAAACAAACAATTAAAACATGAAAAAACAATAATTACAACAATAATTGGATATCTTACTTTAAAACCTTAATAGGAAATTAAACAACATGGTGTTTTGGGCACAGAAGTACATTATGTTTTTTTCGGCTCAGCATCTAAATTTTTTCATGTTTTAATTGTTTGTTTATATGATAATAAAACAGGCCCTGAAGATGACAGTATAAAACTGTCGAAAGCTCGGCGAAAACCGTAAGGAAGTTTTTTCTGTTTTGACCTCTTCCGAAGATCCTCTGAAAAGACTTATTGTATCATTTACTTGGCAGTTTGGCACATCCTTGGCAGTTGCGGTTGACTATTCTTTTATTTTCATTTATTGGAATTTCATGCAAACATGATTCCACAGGTTTTTCATGAGTGAATGTATATATAATGATTTTCGTCCAGCTCGTCAGGATAATTTCGGGTATATTAATCTTATAACTTATGCCTGCGAGTTTCCTTTACAGTTGTAAAAATAAATGCTAGTGGAATAGCGCAAAGGTTAAGGATTAAAACTAGAAAACATCAATGCTCGATAAAATCGTAGTTATGTTTGCCGTTCCAAGCAATTATGTCTTCATTTCACCGTTGCAATACACTCATGCTACAGATAAATGATGCAAGTTGACAGGAATTCGAGACAGCTTCTCTTTTTTCAGCCATTTACATTTCAAAACACCAAGAATCTTCTTAAAAGTAATCTTAAAAATAATATGTTCGTTTGCGTGAGAGTGAATGTGAGTAATGGATATGCCATATGGTTATAGAATCGTACCATACAATGAACCAACAATGCAAAGAACCAAAGATTGGCTAACATGATCGCCGATGATCGATACTGTTATGTTATTTAACTTTTACAGAAAAAGTCAACAACAGTCGTAATAACGAAAAATTTTTCAGTGCAATATCTGCGTTTTTCTTCTAACAGTATCCCAGGTAGAAAAGATTTTCTATGGATAGCAGGACAAGTTATCATTATAACTAATAGCGATTTAGAGTGATTTGCGTAACAACAAAATTACTTGGTTATAGTAGTTTTAAAAAATGTTCAAATAAATTTGGGTCTGTTTGTTGGTTTGCAGGATGATGAAACTATAATTTGGTCGCTAATCCTGGTATGCCTATTCTAGCAGTATTAGTCTGCCAGCGTTTCGACATTTCACCGTCTTTAGTGCCTTGATGGTGGCCACCTTTGTCTGGAGGTAGTGATGTGGATAATAAGGTTTCTTTTGGTACTGCTAAAATGTTCATCTATAACAGTGATAACATACTGTACTGTAAAATTAATGCTTGAACAATTTAATTTACATAATTTTCTCTTTGCCTAGATTATAATTTGATTTACTTGGCATCTCTGTCTGATTTTCCTTGGTAATGTCTGTCAGACAAAATGGCCGACCGATTCAGCATTTTTTGGCGTCACTGAAAATTCAGACCAAGTTGATATGCAACTATTAACGTATGCGTTCATCACCCCGCCAATCACTGGAGGAAATCACACAATCACCCTAGTTTATTTATAAGCATTAATTATAAAATAATTATTTAAAAGCATTAATTGTAAAATTAATACAACGTACATTAAAATTATTTAGAAAACCTACACTGTTTTTTAATTCTTTCGTTTTCATCCTCTGGTGTTTTGTTGATTATTTATCTCAAAATATATTCAAGTATGAACCGAATATTCCCTTTTACTGCATTTCTTTAGATATACTAGTATTATATAATAAAATAAATAAGGTAGAAAGAGTGAAACTTTTTTTATTCTCTATTCTCGCATCCTCCGCATATGTGAACACCCGTGTTGTCGACGCCTAAACGCATCATTAATGAGACATTGAATTTGCGATCTTACCTCTAAACAATCTACGTGATTTAGCTGATCAAGGTACGGTACGAGGCTCAACAGGAACTGGCAATTTGGGTTTTCCTTACGATCGCATTCATTCATTATATCTTTAAAAACGGGACCAACATTTTTATCGCTTGCTTCAATTGCAATGTTGTTTTGGCATTCAGCATCACGCTTATCCTTTTTACCAAACTTATCAGTCTTTTCATTCTTCTTTACCGCTTTTTGAACATTTTGTTTATTGTGCGACTTGTCCGTTTTTCCATGTGAGACTTTTATAGGACGGCTATCAGAACATGGTAGGTCATTGCAGTTATCCAACGAGTCGGTGCCAATTGCCTGTTCGTCGTTGAAACATTCGCTCTTGGTAGGCTGGCTCAATGCGACAACAAGGTCCGGATGTCGGCAAACCGACGAACTGGATGACGCGTTTTTATTAATCTTTTTCTGAACGTAGATCTTAATGTCTTGGTTATCATTGTTTTCCTCTTCCAAATCTCGCATCTCTTTACACACGTGCTGCTTTTGCCGTTTCATATCTATGTTGTGGATCTTTCCCTGCTCGTTACAGTTTCCGTTCATGTTCTGATATCCATGCTGCTGCATACTATGCTTACAAATTTCACAGAGGTCTACAATTCCATTGAGCTGTCCCAGGTTCGCTGCGTTTGGATTGAAGAATCGCTTATTCATCCGGGGATCGTAACCGTTTTTATCTGTATTCGCGAATTTCATACCTGAAGAGGGCTCTCTATTCGAGTTCATGGACGAATCAAGGAACTTCATCGATTCGAAAAACGCCCACTTTGACTTGAAATCGCAGTTGCTGTCTATGGCAGCAATTTGTTTACTGATTTCGCTATTATATCTCTCCCTCAGGTTGCTCCATTTTGTACAAGCCACCGGACCTAAAATGTGTTCTGTTTTATATTTCTTAATCAATTACGATAAGCTTTAATATATTGTTAAATTTGAAGTTCTTTATTTAATTATATATGTGTTGTACATAAACAAAACCGAATTGAGGAAATATTTAAAGTTTTACATTCGCACTAACACATTCACCTCCTCTCTCTCTCTCTCTCTCTCATTCTCTTTCCCTTCTCTCTCTCTCACTCTCTCTCTCTCTCTCTCTCTCTCTCTGTCTCTGTCTCTGTCTCTGTCTCTGTCTCTGTCTCTGTCTCTGTCTCTGTCTCTGTCTCTGTCTCTGCCTCTGCCTCTGCCTCTGCCTCTGCCTCTGCCTCTGCCTCTCCCTCTCCCTCTCCCTCTCCCTCTCTCTCTCTCTCTCTCTCTCTCTCTCTCTCTCAGTCTCTGTCTCTGTCTATGTCTATGTCTATGTCTATGTCTCTGTCTCTGTCTGTCTCTCTGTCTGTCTCTCTCTCTCTCTGTCTCTCTCTCTGTCTCTCTCTCTCTCTTTCTCTCTCTCTTTCTCTCTCTCTCTCTTTTCTTATTATATCTCCATATATCTTTATTATTTCTTTTCTCTCTTATTTTCTTATTTTTATATCTTCTTATCACTCACCATCTACCTCATTCTTTCTCCTCTCTCTCTCTTTTTCTTCGTTTGTTTCCACATCTTTTTATTATCTCTTTTGCACTCTGTCCCTTAGCCTATTTCTATACATCTCTACTATCTCGCTTTTCTCTCATTTCCTTATTTTTATCTCTCAACATCTCTATCATTCTGATGTTGCAAATTGCAACCCCCACTTCAAATATAATTTAAGAATCATCATTTTGTTTAGTCTTTTTTTATACCAAAACCCCCTTGTAATAATGTAATATGCAATAAATAATTTTCTTAAGTATGCAAAATTATAATAAATTTAACGCTATATTTCAACATCTTTAATTTAAAGCTGGACTGATAAAAATTTTATTCTAGTTATGTCTGTTACTTCAATTTATGCTATGCGAATTCGGAACAGTAGTTCAATTTTCGATTTTTTGCAATGTAGAAATAATAAAACCTACTCTGGGATTAACACTTAAGTTAGTTTATTTTTCTTATCAATGTTTTCTTTAGTTAATTTTTTTAAATTTATAGTTCGGAATAATATTCCGAATATTATAGAATGTCAGATCATTCTGCACTTGATAATTGGACGTCATTTTTGTTACTTATGTTTTTTGTTTTATGTCATTGGTGTTATTTAACTTCTGAAGGACCCATTTATCCTTGAAAACATACACCAGCATTGTGTAGTGAATTTTTACCTTGGATGGAATAAAATAAAACATATTTAATTTGTTTAAAATATGTTTGATAGCCATGCATTTTAAAGATGATTTTATATGCTAACTGCTACTATAATCTAATAAAAGGGAACTTCCATTCCCCGAGATGAAAATGGTTGAGGATAATTTCAACGTTTGGTGGAAAAAATCCGGAAAGGTGTGGTTTCTCATTTAATGATATTTGGATAAATCAGCCTTTTTCGGTATACCACACACGTTAATCGACATGAGGTTATTATTATAATGAACACCGACAACGAGAATAGTAAATGAACCCTCTATGTTAGTTTTGGTAGGATTTTGGGCTTAAGAGCTAGAGGAAACTTCATTACTAGTTATTTCCTGTGAGAGAAATGATCTATTTCCTTCAAGACGCGTTTCTTACTGTATAATCTAGGAAAAAATCTCTGCAGTAATGAAACGCAGTAGTAGTTTTAAACGACCTAAGTCTTTTTTCGATATTTTTGATCAATCCATTGGTTTGGTAACGACTAAAACTTGTTACATGTAGTATTATCATAAATAGGAAGAATTTGTGTCTCAAACATTGCCAACAAAATCCATGTTCCAAAAAAATAATAAAATTAATTAACAATCTAGTTAGTTTAAAATTTATCAGGCATTGAATGGGGAAGGCTGTTTTCTCATTTCTATAATACATGTGTTCCATTTTTTTAAAATATCATTAAAAATAACTTTTCGAACCTGGAATGCCGACGACGGTCCCGACTTCGTTCCACAGTTTGCAAAGGAGATCTCTGTTTTTCCAGTTCTCGTCTTTCTCGTTCCAGAGCGGAGGCCGAACCCTGACCTCTCGAATGAGGTTCGAACACAGATCCGTGTTGGACACCTTCTTGCCTGGCTTCATGCTGCCGGCGTCCGATTTCATCGCTGCTTCGTCACACGGCGCCTTGTTCACTCTCGCCCATGTGTCTGCGAATTTCCGTTTTTAACATCGTTCATTCACTTTGGAGCTGGAGTGGCGTGACAATTGATAGGAGTCGATTTACAGCGGATCCGGCCTTCATCGTGATGCGTGAGCTTGGAGAAATTGCGAGAAGCTACTTCCAACATGCGCGGAAATTGGAGAACTGGAATTTTGAGGGTGAGAATTCAAGCGGATAAAAACCTTGTTCACGTCATTTCAAACTCTTAATCTGTATTTATTTCAGGGTTGAACAGATTTTCATTACGAAAAACCATCGTGAAACATATGGGAAATGCAGAAGAAGGTTTGTATGTACAACTTGAAAACTGAAAAATTTTGCCCAAAAATGATTTTCAAATATGAAATATAATACATTTTTGTCCAAATTGCTGATTTGTTTTGACATATTTACAGTATATTATATAGATGTTTTCATTAGTTTGAATTTGCACAGTTGAAGTTTTCATGTAAATTTTATACAGAATAATTGAAAATTTTGCAAACCTCACTTACTTTTAAATATAAATCTACTTTATCGATAGTAATTACTGTATCAACATTGAAAATTGGGAATATTCCAAAATTGAAGTATTTTTCTGATTGATTAACATCTGTTAAAAAATTACACTTTTTACACAATTACATTATATCTGAAACATATCTTGATATTTGATATTAGTCTTTAATGAGTGTAGAATCGATCACAGATAAAGATAAAGGGTTGGGAGAAAATCGGGATTGTTGAATTGTTTTTGTTTAATCTTTATATTGGTTAAACTTGTGCTATTAGTTTTTACACACATATCGACTTTATTGAGTAATAGATAAAATCTACATGCTAATTAAAAAAAGTAGATAAGAGTTACCAAGCTCTGAGGAAGGGTGAAATGTCTCCGAAAACTTGCCAAGGGTGACTAATTACCTCATGCAATTCACTAGCACTTGATTTTCTCCCAGCATTATAGTAAGTTTAAATGTCTGGTCCCTGATTTTTGAGATAATACTTTCATAAATAATACTTTATTTATTATAGTCAGCTTAAAAAGATCATAGACCTATTATTACTACGCGTTTTTCACCTGTTTATAGATGGCGACCAGGGGGGTGATAAATATACATGTTTGTAATTTATTTTAATCACACTGTTAATTTAAACATTTTGTGTACGATTTACATAAATTCATAGTTCGATGTCACATTTTTAGGACACCATCTTGAGTTTTTAATTTTTGTGTAAAACTGTTGCAAATACAAGGTGGTTTGCTATAAAAAAATATTCGGTAGTAAACTGTAAATAGAGTAAAATGCCGCTAAAATTTTTTTGTAAAAAAAGGATTTAACAAAAATCTCCGTTACCTTTTGATTTTTCATCGAAATTGTAGTCGTTGAGGGTAGAATCAACGTTAAATTAACTAAAGAAAGAGTCACATACTGAATCCTTTCAGACCATTTGATAGCATTTTCGGTGGCAAAAATCGGTAAAATTTATACATTCGATATATTTGAATCGTTTCGAAAATTCACTGCTCTGTGTTGAAACCCTCATGAGATTGGCAAATGTAAAAAACAAAAAACAAAAAAAAAAAAAAAACAATCCCTTATCTTCAATACCCTTGAGTTGTTTTCATTTGATTGTCTGTATTTTAATTTTAACTTGTACTATTCATTTTTTTAAGTGATAAAATTTTTGTAAAACCTCGATTTTCTTATAATATACGTCTTTTGGCATGTTTGATGTACCATAATTCTAGAAAAAGGGGAAATCCTTTCATGGATAAATTTCAAAGCTTATTAATTGAAATAGGTTCTTGTGAACTTGGCTAATCTGTAGGAAGTTTTGTCACTGAATTGTTAATTTTTGAAAATTTTCAAAGATTTTTCGATGTTTAAATTGTACAGGTTTGTACCACCAAAACGGATTTCAGTTGGGCTGGAAGTGTTCAGTAGATGATAGATAATTTAGAAAATGTAACGTAAATTTTGAAAACTATGTTAATTTTAATGAGAAATACATTGGTAAATATGCATTTTTTTATTTCTAAGACGGTTTTATCTGTAAGAAATTAAGACAGTGTATCATCTCAACGGAGTGAGTTAGAAAACAAACCCGCTTTTGCGGCTCTACACCATTCACAGTCTAATATCGCACAATGTATTTGTATCCCATATCGAACAACCCTTTGGTGACACAAATAAATTTTTTTTAAGGGTATTATAGAAATTGGTGACTTGTTTGTATTGTTATCTAAGAAATTTGTGGTGATTAGTGAGCGTTAGTCGATTTTTCAAGAAAACATTTTCTTTATCGTGCCAACGTTTCGATCTTTATTGAGATCATCTTCAGGGCCTGGGATTTACAGTTTATATTTAACAAATACATGTAGGATGTGGAAAAAAGTGAGTTTATACAATGCAAAAAAATATTTGTATATTCTATATTGATTATATAGACGGGGTTAATTGTTGAAAAATTAGACTATGTGAAAATGTTTGATGTGGGGAATGTGATGAATGTTTTATATGTTATATTATATGTTTTGTGTGATGTGATGATGTTATATGTATGCTATCGATATTGAATTTGATAAATGATATTAACGTAGCTGCGACTGAGTTTACATGTGTCTATTCTGTAATTGATGCTGTGTTTATCTCTGTTGATGTAAACCATTTCTTGAGGGGCGTCGGTGGCCGCACAGTTTAGTCTTTGTCACGGCGTTCATCACTGTAAGGTAAAGGTCCCGGGTTCGAATCCAGCGGCCCTGCATTCGAACCCGACATACTTACAATTGGGCTTTTTTTCAAAAACACTGGCACCCTGAGGGTTTATATGACCTCTGTTGTTGCGAACCCTCGTTAAAAAAAAAAAAATAATAAACCATTTCTAAAAAGTTACGTTTATGTTTCTTTTGTTCTGTGTGTAATATTTTAGGATTGTTGAAGTCGAAATTGTGTTTGTGTTCAAAATGGTGGGTAGCGAGTGCTGTAGGATTTTGCTTGGCTTTTTTGCAATCATAGATATGTTGCTTTACTCTCTTATCACATTTTTTTACATACTGGGATGTAAGACCGATGTAAGTTGCCGGACAGTTTAAACAATTGATTTTGTAGATTACGTCAGATTTATTTGTTATTGGTGTGGGATCTTTAATTTTGGAAAAAAGTGTTTCAATTGTTTTATAGTTTTTGAAAGCTATTTTAAAGTTATCGGAAGAGAGAAATGTGTTTAATTTATGTGATAGGCCGTGAATGAATGGCATGGAAGTTTATGTTGGTTTGTCTGCATTTGATAGATTTGATGTAGTATTATTAGTACTAGTGGATGGTGTTAATGTTGAGTTGTAGTTGTTGATTATTTTGTTGATTATGTGTTTTGGGTAGTGATTGTTATGGTGGATCTGTTTGTACTTTATGTTTTTATGTTATGTTACTACTTTATGTTTTTGTGGGAAATGATTCATGGCTTAGGGTAATAATTATGTGAAGTAAACCATTGGCCCTGTTTATTATTGTATGAAGAGGATGGTGAGATGTAAAGTTGAGGTAGCGATCTGTGTTGCTTGGTTTTTGATACTAATCTGTGATTATTGTGCCATCTGGTTGTTTTATTACGAGTGTATCTAAAAATGGTGTTGTTTTTGGATTTCATGTGTAAATTGTAGGCGTGGGTGAAAGCTATTAAATGTATCTAATGTCGTTTGAATTTGATCTGTGGGAACTACTGTCAATATAATCATCTACATATTTAGTGAGGAAGGGTAATGTGAAAGGAAGTTGTGGTATTTTCGTGTTTAATAGATGTGTCATAATTATGTTTGCAAGTATCGGGCCTAGATTGATACCCATGGCTATGTCAAATACTTGTTTGTAAAATTTATTATTGTATGTAATGTATGGTGATTAGTGAATTCTGAAACCTACATCACACCAGACCTTATCTCACGATTTCTGAATAATTGTATGTAAAATAAAATAAATTGTTAAATTTAAACAATGTTTGTACATAAATCCCTGGCCCTGAAAACAATCTCAATAAAGATCGAAACGTTGGCACGATAAAGAAAATGTTTTTCTGAAACGGACGTCACACCAGACTGCATCTCCCGATTTCCGAATAATCATTGTTATCTAATTTATGTTATCTATCTCGACGGAGGAGCATATTTTACAGGATAAGGCGTCGAATTTGAAGCAAATATTAAAGAGTGGATTTTCGAGCAGTAAAATCCCTCAGAACGTGCAAAAAGCTGTAATAAAGGTAAAAATAAAGTAAGTTTGAAAGATTTTAAAATAAGCATCAGAGAACATATATGCAATAAACAATTTAGGACCACCATTAAATAGTAAAAATTTAATAAGAATAAAGTAGAAGAAATCATATTTGTTCGTAATTCACCACCATATACAAACTAGGTTATACCTCCTGTCATCCAGAATATACGTAAATACAGATAAGACCCGTTCTACATTCATACTTGTTTGTCTGAAAAACCAATTTTGCCATCAGTCTTCAGTTACAGAAAGTTCTTTATCTACAAAATTAATTAGAATCTGAAGATACTACGAACTTTATATGCTTTACTGGCGTTATTACTTTTTAGGTCGTCCAGCTCTGCTCCCATGCCATAGAAAAATTGACTTCTGGGCATGAGAAAGTGGGAAGTAGAGGTAGAGAGATACGCAACTGATGGTGTTGGTGATGATGATGATGATAATTTTACCTTCAATTTGTTTACTTCATATTGTTAACCGATTCACGTTATGTATTTGCCCTTTTTTCTTGCACATAATGATAATAATAGTTAAAAAAGTGTAATTTTGTTCAAAAGAAAATTTGTGTCAAAACAAAGTTATTTCCAAGATTTTAATTTCTGTCTTAATTTCATTGCATTTAAAATAGCACAAAAAGTTTGAATTGCACGTGAATTTGTCATTTTCAAATGTCAATTAACAAAAATTAAAATGACATCTTTTGTTGATATGATAGAATATTTCCACAATTTATTTATTTTTCTCAAAATGGTCAACTTTGTAGTTTGTAGTTCTTACTTATAATCGACTGTAAAACTGAAAATATCAATCGGTGAAGTTTTTACAAAAAGGGGTAAATCTGCTTAAAAACACTTTTTTATTAATCCAATGTAAAATGGACGGGTTATAGATTTCGCTTCACTTATGTTTTAAATCGCAGCTTTCAGTACTGTAAGTAGATGTCCATATTTATTTACCTTGTGAATTATCAATAATAGTTGTATTGTCTTGATACATTAAATTCATCGAAAACTTGACGACGGAACTATTTTTTCACTTCCGAATTTTCCTTACCACTAATTTTCTAAAATTTATTTTTGTAAATAATATAGGCTGATATACAATTATAACAAGATAATGTACATGTCTAGAGTAAGTCTCGTTTTCTTGAGATGAGCAGACGTTGAATGTAGATCTCCTTGACCGCCTGTTGATCTTCACTCCCGCTTCGATGTTCGCTGAAAGATATGAGTTCGAGGCCGTCCAGAAATAGATCAAGAGGAAAAAGAAATTAATATTTTATGAGTCTTCCCTCGGGAAAGTCGATTTCACGAAAAACAGGAAAAAATACGGTTTTTAGCCTTCGTAGCACTAGAGGTTCAGTATAAAGTCTTTTTTTGAGCCATAGGTGTTACATTTGTCGTAGCAGCGATTTATTATCAGGTAAAATCATGTCAAATAGTAACAGATGTTAAAGGTGAAAGGTGAAATTTTTGATTATTCCTATTGTTTTTGTAAGGAGCTTAATGATAAATTATGATTATTATTCATAAGGTGTAAATTACAGTATAATCCAACGAAATGTTGAGTAAACTCTCATAATGAGCATAATCTTTATATGAAATCAAATAGTTATTTTCATTTAAAGTTTTAAAATACATTTTGTAAAATTTTCTAACATTTTCTTATTAATCTTAGTTGTAAAAAAATTATTGATAATGCAGGAAATGTTACATCATGAAAGAGAAAAACATTTAGGTTAAACGTGTAATAAACCTTACATGACAAACTTGAAAAATATTTCTGCTTTTAGGATTTAATCAAATTTGCAGTTTTTGATCTTGCAAGCATTAATGACCGATCATCTTAACCGACCTATTATAATCCGAAAGTGCCTTATAAAATATGAAGTTTTATCTGTGATTCAATCTCGGTAGTAAGAAGTAGTACAATACCATTACAAGAACCATCATTAAATTAAAATATATGCATATAGAGGTGCATTTTTTATTTTATTGTTGACCTATGTATGCTTTTGAATGGAAATGGTCATCTGCCTTGAGGGGTTGAGGCATCATGTTGACATTCAATTAAACAATTAATTAAGGTTTTTAGTTGAGATGAAAAAAAGTTAATGGCACGAGTGGGATTCGAACCCACGACCTTCGGCTAGATACGCCGCTGCTCTACCACCTGAGCTATCGTGACCTCGATCCACTCGGACATCAACTCCCCATCTCAACCCCACCTGATGAGTTTTCCCTCCTTTTTGCCATTTTTCAAATGTCGTGTAATCGGTTTGGATTCTCGATGACAATTGAAATGGTGACGGACAGCTTTAGTGAAGTGTACTTCCTTTTTAAATCATTAATTCTCTATTTTCGTGGTCCGCTTGACCAATTAATACAAGACAATTAATTAAAGTTTTTAGTTGAGATGAAAAAAAGTTAATGGCACGAGAGGGATTCGAGGTCACGATAGCTCAGGTGGTAGAGCAGCGGCGTATCTAGCCGAAGGTTGTGGGATCGAATCCCTCTCGTGCCATTAAATTTTTTTCATCTCAACTAAAAACCTTAATTAATTGTCTTGTATTAATTGGTCAAGCGGACCACGAAAATAGTGAATTAATTCAATTAAACGTTGAAGAAAGGATAATAATAGACAAGAAAATAAGGAATTATTGCACTTGACGAAATCTAAATTAAAGGATACTTTGCGGTGCTCTCTGAGGGATTTGTAAACGGCAGAGTTTGAGTATAGAAAACGTCGAGCGTTAAAAACGGAACATAGTTCGAGAGATGTAAACTGAAAACTGAAATTGAATTAGGGAGGTGGAAAAACGGACCTGTTTTTAATCGTAACGGACAGGACCCTTGGTAGGATTGGGACTTGTGTGAACATTAGCATTACAGATATATTCCCTTTGTATTTAAAATATTGTTGAAACTTGTTCAATTAACAAATTACAAGTTTTTGTTATTAAAATTAAATAATGAAGAATTATCATTTCTGAGTGGTGCTTTAAAATCCCTTTCCAAAGTAGTCGGGTTGGCTTTTGCAAGTTTACATTCTCCTTGCCTCGGGACAAATTTAGTTTACCTGTCCAACGACATATTTCTTCATTTTGTAATGAACAGAAATTGTTGCAATCTCATCCATGTAGACTTAAAATGTCACAATAGTTGAAAATTATTAAATCCACGGTTAGTAATAAGTGAAATGAAAAATTCACACAAAAAAAAATCGTTTTTCTCACGGTTCACTATACGGTTCATTATATATAAAATAATATAATATAAAATATACATTGGACAGAAAACTAGATTCATAAAATCTGCAGAAATAAATAGTAAACTAGTAATATAAAAATAAAATATAATACAATTAAAATATAATGATATGTGTAGAGGTTAGTGACCGTTAATCGATAGTTATTCAGATATCGTGAGATGCGGTCGGGTGTGATGTAGGTTTCAGAAAAACATTTTCTTTATCGTGCCAACGTTTCGATCTTTTATTACATAGACGACAAACACTTTGAGTGAATAGAAATACTTTGTTTAAATATAAAATATATTTTGCATTGTATAAATTCACCTTCAATAAAAGATCGAAACGTTGGCACGATAAAGAAAATGTTTTTCTGAAACCTACATCACACCCGACCGCATCTCACGATATCTGAATAACTATATAATGATATGAGAGATTAACATTAACAAGAATAGAGCCTTGAGTTAGTAGAAAATCAATGGGAACTTCATAATAGGATTTTCCATTTTGCTGCAGCGTACCCAACTAAGGAATTTCTGTTTTAATTTGCTCTAATAATTTAACTTAGGTGTTGTAGTGAGGCAACCAAATTAAGGAGCCCCAGTATTCTAATAGGGAACAGACGAGGGATGTGTACAGGAGGGTAGAAGTATATATACGGACGGGGTAGGGTCCTTAAACGTCTGAACTACGGGGCAGCGTATTTTCGTTCCAAGTTCAAGCCCTGCTGCATGGGTAAGGACTCGCAGTGGTTTAGTGGTGAGACCCCTAGCGGGTAACTAGAGAAGGAGCTCCGTTTCATTCGTGGCCGTGGACCCGTAGTACTTGCGTATGACCTCCGAATTACCTCCCGACCTCGTGGGAATCAGACAGATCGGATTGCCGAGAACGTATAGCCAGCGAGGAGCTATGACTACGCTGACGGCGTCCCTCGAATGCGTGAGGAATGGTGGACGGGGGCGGGTGCTTGTCGGACGTCTGAGCTGCCTTTACCATAGGCATGGTCTCCTCTAAGCGGTGGTTCGAGATCTCACTAAAATCAAAACCGCGGCCGGAGCGCATCCGGAGGTTTCGACGCTAGCGGAGCCCCTACTCAGGGAGATAGAGTTGTCATCTCTATCTAAGTAGTGCCTGGGAGACTTGGTCGATGCATTTCGACCACTTTTTGGATATCCCTTTACGCGCGGCACTGGTTAAGTGCACAACGTTACCCCATCCCCTCGGAGGGGTAAGCGGGATAAGTCAGCATGTCTAGTCTGTGGATTATCGGGCTTCTACACCAAACCTCACGGAAGAAGCAGATTTTCCCTGCGTGGAGGTGAGTCGCTCCTAACTTGAGAATCTAAAGTGTGGTAAGGCCTGAAGGCTAGGTGCGCACGCTAAAGAACCTCATTGTTACATGACATTGCGACCCCAGTGGTTCACTATACGAAGTCCATAAATCAACCACATATTTAGATAGATAAACTGCCGTTTTTGCAATAGAAAATAATGTGTGCTCCAGTTTTATTCCCCCCCCCAAAAAAAATGTACTTAGAAAAATTAAAAATACATAGTGCAGGACTGTGAAGGCTTCTTTGTATCACTCCTCCCAGTTCTTAGGACAACCCCCTTTAACTATATAATATCTACATTCGAGCACCCGCCTCTTCGCAATAAGTTTGTATTATTTTAAGAATTTTGTTAGAAACTACGATTGAAATCTACAATCTACGTATACACTTTTTTGGCAAAACTTATAATATAAAATATATTATTAGAAATTAAAAAGTTCTTTCGTGATGTCTTGTAGGCGAATTCCTTTTAGCGAATATTTCAAAAGATTATTACAACTTTTTATTCTCACTAATAGAACAAACCTGGGAAGAGTTTGGTGGCAATTTATCATGGATATGATGATATTTAAAAATAAAAAAATAAAAATGTAAGATCAAGCGCGTTTTAAATATTACGGACAAGAAAATTTTCCCAATTGATTTGAAAGAGTTAGTGAATCGATTCAAACGATTGACTTTTAAATTTTTCGTCCTGTTTGGGTGACGGTGGGCAATAATAATGTTAGTTGTATCTATTTTTATACATAATAAACTCATAATTACAATACTCGCTATAACCCATTAATTATATTCTGTTATGAAAGCGCTTTGACAATGTGTTTTTATGAATACAAAATAAACACTCGCGTTGGCAAAAATTGTTTCCAAAAATTGTCGACGCCCACGAAGGTTTTCCTTAAAAAACAACTTATTATTTTTGAAGTGCATTTGCACACTATTCACGTTCGTAACGAGCACTTGATATTTCGTAATTGAGACTGCGGCAATCCATCCAACTTGGGCAAAACCGTTTAAAAAAGAAATCTAACTTTTGGAGTTAGAAAGGAAATGTTATGTAGGAATTGTGTGATATACTGTTATTATTTTTTAAGTGAAAAAAGATGTTTTCCCTGGTGATGTAGCACGTCCAGTCGTCACGAAAGAGGCAAATGCATTAAAAAATATACGTCATAGAGAGGAAAATCCTTCGGCACCGTTACAGCCACTCGCCTGACCAGGCGACCTTTCGCATTGCGACACACGTATAGGCGTTTACCAGCTATCACGGAGAGGCGATCTAGTGCAGGTACATCACAATCATTTATTTACAAAGAAAAAAATCCGGTGGAAAATTTTCCAGGGCCGTTTTTTTCTAACATCCCGTAAATTTACGGAACTGCGCGTTGACAAAGTGGCGAGTGAAAAAACAACTTATGTTGTTCCAGATCTGTCTATCAGATTGATGGCAGCCTGCACAATGAAGGGCGCGGCGCATAGCTCGCTCGTCAACAAATCATGCTCGATGGCGCCTGTTCTGAACCGCTTACGAACAAACGTGGGAGTGTCTCGAAATATCACGGTAAACTTATTATTTGATTTGAATGAAAACAGTAAACATAAATGTCATGTAAAACGAAAAAGACGAACCCTCAATCGATTCATCTTTAATGATTCAGACACCATTTTGAAACAGAAATGTGGAAATTCCATAACGGTTATACAGTGAATGGGAGCCTGCCATGTGAAGCAATTATGCTCTGATTTTGTTAGGTTGTCTGTTTACTTAAACTATGTCAACATGTATATATCCATCGCTCAATCCTCTATTCAGTGCTTCAGGCGCCATTTATAAAAGAGATATGGTTACTTCAAACCTTCTTGAACAGTTAATCAGTGAACGGTAATCATTTTAGTGAAGTAGTTATGTCCCGTTAGATTAAGCCCTTGTGTTCACCTACGTGTTCTGAAATATTATTAGATATCCGTGAACCCAGAAACTCCAAAATCCAAATGAGTGAAAATCTTCCAGGTGAAAAGTTCATGTCAGATTAAGTCTACTAAATTCATTTAAATTGTTAAGGGGCATCAATGAATTCACTGTTTAGTGCTTCAGATACCACACCATAGAGGAAAAACTAAAAATTCCAATTTTTTCTAGCGATTATAACTAGTAAATTCTGCCAAGTGTAAAGGTTATGTCCTGTTAGGTGAGGTCTACGGCGTGCACTTAAAATATTTAAAATATTGATGGATACCTATCAAATAATCCACTGTTTTAGTGCTTCAGATAACATTTTCTAAAGAAAAATTCTAACTGTTTTACAGCAATTATCTAAGTGAGTGAAAACCTACCAAGTAAAAGGTTATGTCATGCTAGATTAGGTCTTTAGAGTTCCTTTAACTATCTAAAATATAATGAATATTCCTGAATTAATCCACTAGTTAGTGTTTTAGAAACAATTTTGTAAATGAACTCTAAAAAGTTAAACTTTTTATAACAAATGTACACTGGGTGGAAATATGCCCAGTGAAAAGGTCATGTCCTGTCAGGTTAGGATGACGAAGTTAATTTAAATTAGTGGGCATCAATCAATTTACTATGTGTGCTTCAGATACCAGTTCACACAGGAGAAACTGAAAACCTCAATTTTTTTCTAGCACCCAATTTTGTAAATGAAATCTAGAAACTTTTAAACATTTTATAAGAAATATACAATGAGAGGAAATCTGGTAAGTGAAAAGGTTATGTCTAGTCAGGTTAGGTCTATAGTGATCACTTAAACTTTGTAAAAGTTAAATGAATATCAATCAATCAATCCACTCTTTAGTGCTTAAGACAACATTTTGTAATAAAAACCTGGAAACTCCAAACGATCAATTATAGAGTCAGTAGACATTTGTCAAATACAAGTTATGTCCTTTAAGGTAAGGTCTATAGTTACCTGATTGGCACTTGATTTCACCCAAATGCTTTACGCCATCTTGAATGAGGTATCTTAGAGAATAGATAGACCCAGTGGAGTGACCACATTATGCTGATCATTGAAATCTAATTTTGCAGGTCAATAACCACCAGATTTAAGGCATATAAAATTTTGTAAAATAAAAAAATAAAATAGTCACTGGGATCTGAGAAAACATCTTCACAACATAAGAATAACTCGGTAAACAAAGGAAACCCAGCGAATGGAAGTGCAGCAACGATAATCAGTGTCCTAGTTCTTCTTAGGAGAAGGATCGAGTCGATTGAACTGAACTAAGGAAGTGGCCCATTTCAAGTGGGAAAGTACAGCAATCCAGAAAGCTGCAGTGCCTAGTATCTATCATCACCATCATCAGACACGTTTCAGAATTTCTCCAATTTATATATATTTTTTTAAACGAATGGAAAAAAACTAGCACGTGATTATGTGTCAATTTGGAACCAACTTGCAAGAATGAAAGGTTATGTTTGTATTAAAATAAAATAATATAATAATAAAAATTGTCAATTAGATGTTGATATTTTTAAATATAAGCATGTAGTTAATGTTAAAAAATAAATATTTTTCATAGAAAAATTAAATATTTGTTTTCATAGCTCATCAGTTTGTTTGTAGATAAATCGGGTTGAGCATTATTCTCAGCCTGTCTGGTTACGAATATCGTTTAAATTGTACTTTTTTTGTGTTTGAAATTATAATCCGGTTAATGGGCAATAAGGTAGCAATATGTTAATTTAAAATTCGTTCCCTAGGCGGAAGCCTATTGTACACGAAGGCCACGTTCCCAACCCCTGGCAAATAACCCGAAATAATTCTATAATTAGTGGATAATGAAACTCTTTCTCTCCTCTGGCACGTTTAAGTTGAGAATTAGGATTATAGGTTTTTCCCTCGGAAATGGGTCAAGCCCTGTTTGCCTGTAATCCAGTTCGATTGGATTTAGTAATAGGTAATTAAAAAATTCCGATCGAACGATCGGAGCCTTACGCGAGGCGAAATGGAACCGTGATTCCAATAATCCTTCTTTATCGCAATCGCTTCCGCTCCTGTTTCAAACTACTTAAACGACATGAAACTAAAAAAGAAAAAAAAGGGATTAACTTAAAACGGTCGGGCCACCGGAAAACAAGTGGGAATGTAAATAAGAAAATTTACATAAATATGTAAAGGTAAGTGTAAAAGTAGAAAAAATGTACATACCACAGCGGTGTGAATAATATAAAACCCATGTCCTGAATAACAACAATAAATAATTAACATATTTGAATCAAATTATTGATATTTTAATGGCACGTGCGAACCTAACAATCGAGAAATGTAAAAAATCTCCTAATATTTATGTTATAAATTTATTTAAAATACATATTAAAATTTTAATTGTTTGTCCGTTTAAAACATTCTTTAAAAGTCCGCCTGATTTCACAGCCTAATTTACTTGTTATATTTTGAAAATATAATAGTCACACAAAAATTAAAGGATCTTGTCTGCATGAAGCCTAGTTCTTCTTTATACCATTTTGGAGAAATTTTTCCAAGAAAAAAATAGTTAACTATCTTACAATAATGACTAAGAAATCGGAAGATTTTTTTAAATCCACAAACCCTTGATTGTAGGGCAGATCGCCTTTCTTACTTGTTTACTGTTTAATAATGTGTATTTCAGATTAAAAATTGAAATGTAGCGCCTCTTATTAATATGGGTATGTAATAAAAAAATTGTATATGTTATTTATTATAGGCTACCATAATAGAGACTAATTATTACCAAACTGCACTGCATTTTATACAAAATGTATGCATATTTTTTAATAATTTCAATTAATTATTCTTTTTATGTAAGGGCCTGGTTGAGGTGAAAAAGGGAGTGTGACGAGGGGGATTCGAACCCACGACCTTCGGCTTCATCTCAACCAAGACCTTACATAAAAAGAATAACTAACTTAAAGACGTAATTTGGTCAATTAGACCCCTAAACGGATTAACATTTTTTAATAATGATAATAAGTAATTTTAAGTATTATTATAAAACTGTTGATGATCTTTAAACGTGGTTGTTAAAATTTCTTGTTTTGTAATAATAATAAAAGTAATTTGTATGTAATAACAGGTGAAAAATAAAAATTAATTTTCTAACTCGCATGACTACTTTGGTCGATGGTTATTATATGCTCACTTGAAAATTGTTTTCTTAATCTAACTTAAACAAATATACTTATTACACATTTATGAAATTTCTATTAATTTACACTACTTAAAATATTCAGATTTTGGACAAGGATATGACTTTTTTGTAAAGAACCTGTAGCTTGATCCTCTTTGAACAACCTGGTCAACGTGGTTCAACTTGTTTCGTCTATCTGACAGTTTCTTTTGTCTCTTCAGTGATCAGTGTGATTTTTATTTGTTATTTAAAAAAAATTGAAGGTGTGAAGTACGAGTGACTTCATAATCTGTGTTGTATCTTCGTTTAATTTATCATAAATTCAGTTTTTCAGTTCTTTTTGTTATTACGCGGTATTTCTAAACCTGTATTTGCTGCATTGACCTTTGTTATTGGTTTTTTAACTTTGAACATGTGTAGTCTATTTTTTATTTTACGAGGGTTCGCAACAGCAGAGGTTATATCAACCCTCGGGGTGCCGGTGTTTTTCAAAAAAAGCCCATTTGCAAGCATGTCGGGTTCGAATGCAGGGCCGCTGGATTCGAACCAAGGACCTTTACCTTACAGTGATGAGCGCCGTGTCAACGCCTACCGTTGCGGCCTGAAGTCTATTTTTGTTAATAATATTTGTCCTATATAGTTTATCTATAAATTTATTTGAATTTTTTAAAATTCAAAGTGGTTCCGTACTAATATAAATATAAATAAATAATTGTTCCTTGCATACATTGTTTATTTGCCTGCTGTCTCTTTTATTTTTCACTCCACTAGCAGGTTATTGTGTATACTTCTCTTGTCAATTTATTATCTCAGATGTGATTAATTAATTTTGTTAATGTTTGTTAAAATTGAAATATTGCATTGAGATGCGTACATCCTGTAGCTGAATTGTATTCCATCCTGGTCTGGCTAAACCCGCTGTTTTCTCTAATTTGCTTATTTTTCAGTTTGTCTTGTTTCTAGGTACTGTATCCTAGTGTATTCTGTATCTACAAATGCAATTTTTTCTGTTTTTTATTTACGAAGATTAAATAGAAAAGTTTTCCATTGATTTTGAAATTATTCGTCCATCAAATATTAAAATATTCACTGACACACTAAAAATTCATATTGTCCTTGTAACAAAACTTACATTCCTATATGGAATCCTGGCGTAATATAACTGTTCACCAGGCGAGTGTCATATGTGAATATTTCAAAATGTTTGAGCCGATATTAAAAAATTATGCATTCGACTCTGGGGGACTGGAACCGTTGCGAAAAAGACGTTTTGTAAAGAGTGCATCTCCTTGTAAAATGTCAGGGGTGAAGTTGGCTAAGGTTGACGTCACTGGTGACCCAAAACCGTTGCCCTCGTCAGCCGTTTCTCAGGGGGTTGGAAATTCCGGAAAACCCGGTCGTAAACGTCCATCTAGGACAAAGCATTCCTGATAATAAAGCTCATATTGTTTCTTTTTGGGTTATTCATATGGGCTGGGAACCACCCACCGGTAGCGAGATGGAAGTGTACGAGAAGAATAATCAATTTGTTCCTACGACCATCGAATCCGGGATGAGTACGATGAACTCTTTTAATGTATTCAATGTAAGAGAAAAATAAATCCATTGAGAAAACTTAAAAATAAGTTAAGCTAATGCTCTTTTAACAATGCTAAATAATTCTCCTAAACACGATTTGTTCATGATATACAATAAATTTATTCGATGTACAACGCATCAAGCCTTCCTTGACATAAATTCCCATTTGTTTTCAATTGCGAAAATCAGCTCCCATTTCAACATAAAATTATCTCAATTGTTCGAAACTAGGAAACAACTTTGGCAATTAAATAATAAGTTAAGTAAAATGTTAATTAATTTCTGATTTCACTCTTTTAATAAACAGATAAAGAATTATACTTTTTGATTTGACTTAGTTGAGTATGCATTGATGATTTAAGACCTAATACGACAAGATGGCAAAAAATGTTTTCCATGTAGGAAAATCGTACTGAAAGATTTACATATCTCCAAATTACATGAAAAAATTAGTTGAAAGAAACATTCTTATCCTTACTAAATGCTTAAGGTCAATTAATTGATGAATCTTGGGGTATTCCTTATTGTGGCAATTTTTGACAAAGTCGTGGAATTTTATGAAATCAACGTTGATAAAGAATAATAGGTGTTTTGGGGAAAGAAATGGTTGGGTTAAACCGAATGAAACAAATATTTTATTGAAAAACAACTTTTAAGAACTTGTGTAAGATTTAATTCAATAATTTTCACGTACAATTTGCAGTCAGAAAGTTTTTTTTATTTAATCTTACACAATCGGATACTGATTTATTCACTGAATGGTTTGAAATATTGAAATATGACATAAAATGTGTACAGGATTTAGAACAAAAAATGTTTTTAACTAGCTTGCTTCGTTGCAAAATGTATTATCAGATCCGGACTTTATTAAGAAAAATCTTGAAAACAGGATAAAAATGATCTAACAAAAATAAAAATAAATAACTTTCAAACAATCATTTGACCTTCATGTTATAAAAGGGATTATTTTGTATGCGATTAGGCTTCCAAATTACTGTTATTTGCTGTATTTCATTTGTGAAACTAATAGCTTTGGACTCTTTGGTATTTGGTGAAGAATAAGATTTAATATCGAAAGTGTGATGGTGTAAGTGATGTGTAAAGCTTCGTGGCGGATTGACCTTGGCGGTGCTCGTAGCTTCTTCTGGTGAAAGTTGTTTACCAGTGCTTTAAATGTTTGAATTATTTTGTAAGGAGAATGGATAAAGACTGCGACAAGAAATTTTATTTTTTTGTAAGCCTTTTTTTATATTTTAACTATTTTTTAAAATAATAATAATTAATAATAATATTAGGATATCTCTCGCAGATGAAAAAATACAAATAAAATAGTTTTTTGACGAGCCGCATTGGAGGTGCACTGTACAGGTGGGCTCGGCGCGGTGCAATTCCGCTTCAGTCGTCTGAATGAAGAATTTGATTGTTGGAGATCGCCTGACTTAGAAGAAACCGTCGCCGGTGGGGTCATGGACCCATGGGTAGTTGTTGGGACATCTGACGCAGGTTTGGAGATTGATCGTTTCACCGGGCACCTCTTTGCTCGTCAGCTTGCAAGAATGGGGAACCCAGCAGGCGGGAGGTCCCTCGACGGCGCACTTCTCCCTCCAAGGCTCGAAGTTCTTAACCTCGGATATCGTCCTCGGGTTCTGTATCCACTGGATAACTTGGGTCATCGTCACGAAATAGACGTCGTTGTATTTGCTGAGGACGTCGTCGATCCAGTAGAGGAAGGCGTCGAGGAACTCCGGGTTGTTCTTGAGCCAGGCGGCGTGGAAATACAGGCCCAATGGCGCTCTGTTCTGGTCGTAATGCCTGTCGAAGTTGTGGCTCAAAAAGTTGAAGAACTGGTCGCCGGTGAGGATGTTGGAACAGGAGTCGACCATGGCGCAACCCGGGAGGTACTCGTCGAAGTTGGGGTCTTCCCTCCTGTCAAGTTCGTTCATCACCATTTCCCAGACGGCGTGGCTTCTAGTCGGACAATGCTGCAGATTTCCGTGACATCTGTGAGGCATTCTGAAGTACATGGTGTATGGCCAGAGCGGGGGGTTGCTCAACGGTGCGGTGATGGTAGAGTCGTAAAGGAAAGCCTGTTCTTCCATCATTGTAAATTGATTGTTTCCTCCTACCCTTAGGTATGGAGCTCTGACTCCGACGACACTGTTATCCGTGATGTTGGCGTACTTCTCTACAATAACCCTCATACCGGCCATCTCCTTGGCCCAGTCGTCGACGGTAGCATTGCTCCAAAACTGTTCATCGTCGTTGTGCCTGTAAAAAGTACAACGTTAGTAAAATAGGGAAAGGAAACAGAAGGTCAAGTAAAACGAGTCTGATTTATGGCTAGGCAGTATTTTTATCCCTGGAATCTTGAGCTCAATAAAGTGGGCGATGACGAGAAAAGTCACAAAGTAAGGAATTTAATTCGGCAACAGGTTTTCAAGGTTGTAATTAATATATCACTAAGAGCACATTTACACGATAGTTCCGTAATGGTGTCCTTAATCGGAGGAGCAAATGATCTATGCTAATCATATTGTCGGAACACATTTTATAAAATTTTCGATTTTATAATCCATATATTTCTTGAAGGGATTAACAGAATGAATAGTACTTGGCGTTATTGACTTTAAAATATCAAATTGAAGCCAATTTAAATTTTAAATTTATCACGCGAGTAAAAATAACAGACTTCTTATGTGCTTGAAAGTGTACCTTAATTTTTTTAGCCCGCATTTTAATTTCCTCTAATTTTTTGGACAATATTTTATCATATATTTATTATCAGAAAAAATTATGTTTTTTTCGTTAAAGTTAATAATATACAGGTTTTCACCTTTACATAACATTACAGTTATAATATTTATGAATGGTCAAATATGACTCAAATGAGGAAATAAATAAATAAAACTCTGACAGTAAAGTTTGGAAAAGGGGAAGATATTCGACGATTGGTTTTCGGCTCAATCTTGAACTTTAATTATGAGAGTGAAGAATTAATTACTTACGTGATAGAATGGACGGCAATTTCGTGGCCTTTCCTGTGGGTTTCCTGGACGGCAGAGTAGTTGGTGTATTTGTGAGAGACGAAGAACGTGGCCTTGATGTGACAGCCGTTCGGGTTCTTCCTCTTCGAATGGAAGATCTCTTTGTATAACTCGATGTTGTTGTTGTTGATGGCGTCGTCGAAGGTGATCGTAATCATCTGTGGGATATCCTTGGCCGGGAGGTCGTTGGGAACGCCGGTACCGTCCTCCGAGCAGAAGCAATCGGGCAGGACACAGACGGCAGGGTCGCAAGGCGGGGCCCTGTTCGGGTCGTTGTCGTTATCTGCAACGTGAAAACGTAATGAAAAACTGCGGAGAAAGTCCACGGATTATGCAATAGTTGCACAATTCTCCCTTACCGCAAGTGTTTTCGTCCGATCCGTCGGTACAGTCTTTTTCGCCGTTACAGAAAAGCCCTCTCTCGATACACGCGCCATCCCCGCAGGCCAAAAATCCGTCCTAAAATTCACCTGCTATTGAATAATTCGGGACACGAAATGCACAGCCCGATGGGCAAACGTACCTGGCAGAGAGGTTCGTCTGTGTACAAAAGAGGTTTGACCTTTCTTTCCTTGTTCTTCAGTTTACAATTCTTGACAGCATCCTTCCAATCGCAAGTTTGCTTTTCGATATCGAAGAACAAACCAGCAGGACACCTAATTGCTTGAAGCCCCTACAGTAAAAAGGAAAAATTAACCTTCCATTCTAGGATCTTTCGTTTACTTCAATTCTATTAGAATTTTTTTCATCGCAAACAATTTAAATTCTAATTGTAGTTGCATAACGGTTTATAGAAAAATTGAAAATTCCTACAAAATATAAGAAATAGAAGTGTTCTTATAAATATAAAACATTTTTTAGATTCTACATTGTAAAATTATGTATCGATTAATTAATGAAGTATTTAAAATTTATGTTGTTTTTAAATGATCTTTTTACACGGACATAGCAATAAAGTTTGAAAACATTGAGGCGTTCGTGTTTTTTTCCCAATGTGTTGAAAATTAACTAATCGAATGAGAATTTTTCATATGACCAGCGAAAAGGAGTGTAAGAAAAATTAGGTGATCTTCATTGTCACTGCTGCCAATCGTTTTCTCTTAAGCTCTGTTAATTACCGACAAACCCGTCAGAGGAGTATTTGTGCGAGAACCGCAAACATCGAAATAGTATTTTTACACTGGGACTTTAAAAAACTGACGTCAGGACGACTTACCGAAGAGGTACACTGTATCACATCTCTGCAGTTGTCTCCTTCCCCTGCGACAAGCCTGAACCACTCGCCGGCGTCTTTATCCTTGCATAATTCTGCCTCGAAGCTCTCTTCTTTTTTGGGCGGGTCCTCTTGCCCGATCGCTGAAATATAAAAGGGGACATTGAAATTGGCACTAAAAAAAAGAAGTCTGGCCTTTGCAACTTGTTGCGTTATATAACCGCTATTGCAGAGCCGGATTTTCAAACATGCATTAATTAATGCGGTTTGGATTTACTATGGGAATTGCAGTTTAACCTGATTATAATTGCCGATTGTTTTAGTCCTTTTTAACGCCTATTACAGAAAAGAGGGCAAGTTGCACAATAAATAGTTTTGTAGGTGTAAACTAGTTTTATGAAATGTCTCGAACATTTGAGATTGAAGGACGTGTCAGACATGGGATTTTAAAATTCTCAAAATATAAGCAATAAATCCAATAGAGTTGATGTAAAGCTATCCTGTAAAATTTTATTGAATAGTAAACTTGCCATATTACCTTAAATTTGCACCCTTTTGACCGATATATAATTACTGAAATCTCGATAATTAAAAACCTTTTTTAATTTATAAAAAAAAATTAAACAACAAAACATCGTTTCTTTAACTCCAAACGTCAGTACTAATCAGAGTATTAGGTTTTGAAAGAAATAAAAAACAAATTTTATACGAGTAATTTAAAAGGTGGAAGATACTAGTTGATGAAAATCCTGTTCGTTTGCAATTCCCGGCATTCGTTGTTGGGATGGTAAGTAATAACTTACGGTTTGACATAAATGTGATGAAAGTAAGCAAAAGTTTAATAAAAGCACAGTGTTTGTTATGTTTTCAGTATGCTGCAAGAAGATCTGCTTTGTATCAAAAGTTTGCGATTTGCTTTATCATGAATTGAAATTCATCATATCAAGAATCGACTCAATTTTCACAGACGTGACCTTGGAGTTTCTCTTTTCGAGTTCTAGGTCAATTTCTAAGAGGGCTGCGGGGAAAGTTATTTTGTAATCCCCTCAGCTTCAGCGCGAACAATTCGAAAGCGCCGGAGGCGATACCTTTTCGGTGGAAGGTATTTTTCTGGTAAATCAGTCAAAAAAGAGCCATAGATACGGTGATCTCTATTGTAAAACGATGAAGAAGCCATAAATCCATCTGCGAGGTATAAGGAGATTCGAGACGTACAAAATTGGCAAGTTCCGGAAAAAAAAAAAAAATATATATATATATATATATATTTCGTCCTATATGTAGCTTACATAAGTATTGGCATTTTGTCCAATGAGGAAAGGAAAATGGATCTTGTTGGACGAATTCCTTTACGCTAGTTAGCGTTAAAGCCAGAATGTCAGAAGTCAAGGTTGCCCCTTCGGAAAATCACATCTTCCTTAATTCAAGCAAGTTTTCGAGGAAATACTTGTGAAATTCAAATAATGTGCAAATGTGTTTTGACACTACACTGCCGGTTCTACTTATTTACTACTTCCTTGCATGGAAATTGGAAGTTGCTGGGTATGAGAGAAATTCTGAAGCAACCGGTTTTCATCGCACTGTTTTTCAATTAGAAGTGGTGAGATCTGTTGTCAGCCGGACATGAATTCAACACCCTATTCGTGGTCGTGCATTCTCTTCTCGGAACGTACAATCCAACGGAGCCGGTTGCAGCAGAAATATCTAAAAAGTGTTGTTTTCTCCAACGATTTCATACCCGGATACGCGAGGCTCGAATCTGCGAATTGTGAAACAAAAGCACTTTGCCTGTCAGTATCTGGATTGAAACTAATGAGGATTTTCTCCCGGGCCCGATGCACTTTCCGTCAAGCAGCCTTCACTCATGCTCACCCGGCAACGCCCATTCTTTCTTTGTTGAGCGGAAAAATTGGGACGCTTGCGCAAATCATTGTGATTATTTATTACAGTACTATAATTTACGATACCCCGTTGAATGCTGGGCAAATATATTTGTTTTAAATCACGCCTAGAGCGTTTTTGGCTGTTACAATATGCAACGAGGAGTCGTTATGTAATATAACCTCAATATGCAAAGAATGCGGAAAAAACACAGAACGGCATTCAGCTCCAAATTTGCTACCCAATAATCCACCCAAAACTTGCACAATTTGACTTATCTTTCTTTTCTTTATGGGATCGTGTGGTTTCGACATTTTTCTTGCAACTTTCAAACGAATTTGTTTTCAAATTTGCAGTAAGTTTGAATCGAGCTTAAAAAATTGGAAAATATTAGTTAATGTATCAATTAGGATTATTTTGTTTAGTAAGGCATTTGTTCGCGTTTTGAAGGAGAAGAAACAAAAATCAGGCCTGACAACCAGTGGTTCAAATCACTTTTTGCATTCGTTTCGCTAAAATCTCCAGCGGCATATTTTTTGCCTAATGAATTCCAATCGTCCGTTGCAATCGATTTTAAAAACTTAATTAGCCTAGTATTTACAATACGGAGGCTAGTTCGTGTCTTCAGGCCACAGCTACTTTTTCCCAGACGAAAGCCGGCAACGGCCTTTCCCATGTCTCTAACAAAAGGTAAAATGGTTAAAAACCAAGGCCCGTGGAAACCCAAGGACGATTTTATTTAATTCCGTGCGATCCGCGTTCGATTGGATTCGGACCATCCGAAAGTCTCTTTTGACCGTTTTCAACAAAAAATTGACGATTCATGCCTGGTAATTCATTATTGAAATTCCGTTCTTTAAGACATATGTAAAAAGCCGCTACTTGGGAAAAATAAAATAATTGAAATGTTTAGTAATAATAATTTATTATTAATACAATGAGTTAATTTATAATAAATTGAGTTGTGAAAAAATAAAACATGAAATATGAATAGGGGAGGTTTTACAATATTTATTGGGGTTGCGTTATTGCCTTACCTAGGAATTGCCCTGCTAATATAATTTATTTTTGGTATTTTGAGAAGAAATTCGAAAACACCTACTGGCCTTGTAACAAAAATAATAAGACGATTGAGCTAATAGCGTTCCATAAATTTTTAAGAAATAAAATTTCTTCTAATATTAAAAATAGAAATAGTAAGTGATATTAGTCAAAATGCTACAAAAAATTCAACTTGTTAGTTTATTTAAATTCGCGCTATTTATTTTATACGGTACAACTACACATCTAAATCGATATCGACTTAATTGAGGCTAAAATGTTGACAATTATGCCGTTTTCACATAGGCGATTGTCCCTGCGCGGTTTTTTTCCGCAAGTCCTCGACATTATGAAACCCCCCGGCACACGTAAACGCTCAAACACGCCCAACAAGTCACATCTAATTTGCATGTTATGAAACTTACTCTCACCCGCTTAAGATCTGGCCTGTGCACCTTAAAGCCTATTTCAAATTCACTAATAAAAATCTTCGTCCGTCTTGCTGTGCCTGTTTATTGGTCGAACCCCGTAGCCCGGATGTACTAGAAAAATATCCGTTTCTCTGATTTTTGAAATTGTATAAATTTTTAATTAATTAATTAAGTTTGATTTGGTATTGTTTATCTGAGACTTAAATCATACACAATACCATTGTTTAAAGTATATTTTATATGGTTGGTTCTATTGTTATATGCATGGATGGAATGTTAAAGTGTATAAGCATAAATATTCTTATTGATGATAAAAAACATAAAATCAATTTATGTTCCAAAACATAACAAAAAAGTTAGGAACTATGTTATTATAACATTAATTACCGTCACATGGTTAAAGAAAATAATTAAAATGCAATATTAAAAATAGATAATTACTACGAGTAAACCTAATTATCTTTCAAGTAACAATAAAAAATCATTAATGACTTTAAAAAGACAAGAGCAATGAACAATTAATTACCAGTGCCTACAGTTATATTTAATAGACTAGAACCAATTACAGAATTTTGTTTTATTTGCCCATTCCATATTGCTACAATAAATTATTATGATTAAAAACTATTTAGAACAAACATTTTATGTGAATCTCTAATATGTAAAATTTGAAAAATGTACCTGACTTGTTCAATTTGTGGTTTGTGTTTAATTGATAGGCAGCTTGATAGATAAAGTATGAGAAATTGACCAAAGAATCGCCGGATGATTTATTAATTTTATATTTCAAATTGGTAGTTATTATAAGTCAAAATTGAATAAAGTTTATTTTTTATTTTTAAATATTAGTCCTTCCTTGTTGGATCTTCAAATCGTATTCCTTTTACAGTGGAAAAGCCGCTCAGTTGTGTACTAAAATGTACAAATTTCACCTTCCCACAAGATTATTGTTTTGCTTTAAGCTTCTAGTTGCACCTAGATCTTTACGAAACCCGGACTGTTATTGCAGTTGAAATTTTAACATTACAAACGTTATATTTTTCAACTCCGTACAAGGATTTCGCAGATCGGTAAATGCCCTCTCGCGACACGGCCGTTATCCCGGCATACAAATCAATTTCGTCTCAATTCACTGATATTTTCTCCGTAACTGGAGGACTGAAAATGAATTTCACAATGATTGCGCGTCAGTGTAATAACATTCGCGGAGGCCCGTTTTCTTAAACAGCCCATTACAAAAATTCTTTATAATTCCCGAGTGTAAAAGTGAGATGGAATTGTTTAAATAAAATCGTAAATGTCGTTCCAGGACGGTTAAACCATATTGAAAACAAAATCCACCTTTATTTATAGAAGGAATGTTAATATTTAAACCTCCATAATATGAACAGCAACCTGCCGGTTTATTACGAAGGTTAAAATCTTTCCGTGTATTTACGAGACAACTTGACGTCTATCGCAGGCCGTATAAATTTTTTCATCAAAACTTGATCATGATTATCATCAACTCGTTCTAGTGCCAACAGCTCGGAAAATCCTTTAGGATCAAATCCGGTTTTATATTTCCTCAAAAATACCACTGACACAAACGTGGACGGATTTTCCTAGGTAACTATTTGAACTACATTAATTTAGTTTAGCTGGAGGGGGCAATCTACAACTATTTTGAAATTTGAAAATGAAATAATTTATAAAAATTCTGTTCAGCCTTGTTCACCAAATCTTGTTTCGTATCGTCTGCTTAAAACAGGCTAATTAAAAAAGAAATCTATAATTTGCAATTTGGAGTGGAATATAATTTGGGGCAATCAAACACCAAAAAAGTTCACATCGTTGATGGTGAAAACAACGCATTTATAAATTTCTGCTTTGTCTCATTTGGATTGAAACATTATTTGTCTGTGTTATTGAAATTGAGTCAATTTAAAATGCCCGGAGGTGAGAGAAAAATCTGTTTTACATAAATCCATAGTACTATTGTGAAATAATTAAAAAAATATAATAATATACTTAAAATTAAAGAAATATGACTGCGAACGAATATAATGTGGTTAAAATAAAATTCCGAGTAAAAATAAGAAATTTCGTGCCAATTAGAAAAATATGAATAATTAAAATTAACAACAAATCAGAAAAATTAATAGCTGTGACACTTTAAGACAGAACCAATTTATACATTGTTTTGTTTAAAATAGCAAGGTTATGAAATTTTTTTAAAAACTTTTCTAGCTTCTGGGCCCTCGAAGTACATCATCTGTGGTTGCAATTGAAAATTAATACTATTATGAAATAATTGCAATTTTTTGTACAGCATCTTTTAAACAATGTAATGTAAATGAACATAACATTATTTAAAAATGTTGGTGTTGAGATATATGTCTTCTTATGTGTTCAATCGCAAATATTAATAATTTAAATCGAGAAATATTATACATATAAATTATATTGTCAATATTCATTACACTGAAAGTTTAGTATCATTGGAACGTTTTGAGTTTATTTAAAATTATTTAGTGTAATATAAAAGTTTAATACCAAAACGTTATCAAGTCAACCCCACCCTTAATTTTAACGGGTTTAGAATTAAGATAAAGAAATGATTTATTTTTTCGGCTCCGATGACTTTCACGATTGAATTTTTTCCCCGAAAGTGAGATTAATTGTGATTAGTGGGGGATGCTATGCCTCCCACCCTCGGGGGCGGCGGGGGTAGTGGGCTTGGAGGGGCGGCATTCCCATTTTCGACATCATCAGCTGCAGCAGCAAATCATACCTGATGCGATGGCAGCAGCGAAGAAAAGAAGCTGTAATGTCCTGGACATGGCCACGGGACACACTAATGGTCCGGCCCCACTACTCGCCTTCTTTATATATCCGTCCCACATTCACCCTCCTCGGGTCCGGGCTTAGTCCCCCTCGTCCCGGAGGAGAGCGCCACGCACCGACTTATAGTCCTCCTACCCCGGCTGCGATTTTCCGCACCATCCCTCTTTTTCCTGGCGGCCTAGGAAATGTTTATGACCTCAAACACTCGTCGGTTCGACAAGGCGGCTGGATGTTGAGGTTTAAAGATTATACAATTATTTTTAAACTGGCTCAAATCAAAACCCTCATGAAGCCAACAGTCTGAAACTGGGAACCCTAACGTATCGCCACCAGCCCACAAATTAATTATATTTTTTTGTTTGAACAGAAAAATAATGGTGAGATTTTCTTTTTGAGAGTCTGCGGGGTGATGAACCTGCCATTGATGGTCTCCTATTATTTTAGACTACTTACCTCGTTCTTTTGGCCTGCCAGACGCCCTTCGCCTTCCCATTTCTTGAGGGATGGGCTTTGTGCCAGTCAGTAGTGTATCAGGATTTATAGTATATCGTGATGATCAAGCAACAACCAAATATAATATAATATTATATTATATATATATTTAAAACGAATTTAATAATATTAAAATCCTTTTCTTACCATTACAATGTATAATCTCAATTTTAATTGTAGTAAGCTTTCCTAAAATCAATGATAAATACTTATTTTTATTAATTATTTTTATAAAAGTAATATCTACACTTTTTCATAAATTTCGAGTGTTGAGAAATTTTATGTCTATTAATCCACTGAAATCTGTTTACTGTTTACTGGCACAATCTATTTTTGTTTATGGAATTATCATTTGGGGTAGAAGAGCGAACTGTTATCTTAAACCGCTATGGTCACAAATTAAATTCATTGTAAAGAAAAATCGCAGATTTAGCACTAAACTTTTATACTCCGAATTTAAGGTTATGAATTTAAATCAGCTGTTTATTAAATTGTCTTGTTTATATTCTTTTAAACATAAAATCATACCTTTGAAATTATCTTCAATGCCTGTTACAAGAAGAAATGTTTTTTTGAATGTTTCTTTATCAATAGTTAATACATCGATGTATTACAAATTTTCATTGGAGGTTGCCCTTAGATTTTTGTAAAATAGGAACTAATTATTATTGTACCAATTTTCTGAAATTTAAAATCTCAATTTCTAAAAAGATTGTCTCTCTTCGGAAATGTTTTGTTTGAGAATCACATCTAAACATGAATACGAGTTTTTGTTTTATTTTTGTATTATGTTGTGTTAAAAGATTTTATTTTTGTAATATTTTGTTAAAAGATTTGATATAATTATTTTATTTATTTACCTCTTGCTGCCAAAGTTATTCATTAGTGCCAGCAGATTAAATAAAAGAATTGATTTATTTATTAAGGGGGTGAAAGTCGTTTGTGTCGCCATAGGGCGGATTGGTGTTGTTTTTGTTATGTTGGTGTCTTGGATGAATTAAGTTTGTGTTTTCGTTGTTTGTGCAAGCCTGTTGCTGTGTTGTAAGTATTTTTTGCGTTATGTTGTATTTATGTATGTTTTTTGTTTTCACGTCTTGAATTTGTTTGTCTCCTACTACTAAGTTTTTTTTAGTTTTATAACCACAAACATCAAACTAATGTGAATTGTTGTCGGTTCATGATTGTTTGCTTATATCGCTTTTTTTTTAATTTTCAGTAATTATTTCATACCAAATGATCCAGTTTGTTCCTTGGATTTGTGTATCCACTTACCAACCGGTACTTTCGATGGTTAATCTTGGAAATGTTTTATCTCCGACTTTTGCTATGCTTCTTGTCTTTTAACTTAAATTTATAATCAAAGTTATCCAATTATTAAGATTTTCTGGATATTGAATGATAACTATTGATTTCTCTTAATTTTGATACAATTTTCCATAGAAATCATTAAATTTCAGAAAATTTAATTATTTTATTAGGCATTGAATCAGTCGACTGATAATAATCTGGTCGTTTCTTATCGTCTTGTGAAATCGTTACACTTAACTTTTTGGTCACCTGTTTTTGTGGAGAGAATGTACAAAATTCTCTCGTAACGCCTTGCAATTTTCTTTTAAAAAATGTTACTAAAGGAAATTTGTAACCTTGAAATATTTACCAAGCCAAAAATTAAAAAGAAAACTTTGATTTGAACAAGTAAATTACTTCCGTAAGAGTAATGAATCATTAGATTCGAAGCTTACAGTACGAAAATGTCAGATAAATATTTTTAGCGTTTTTTAAAATTCTAAACTCAATTTTTTTAATGTCAATTGTGAAATTTCTTGTTGAAGACTGCACTAGAGATGCACCTGTACTCATGGAATTTCTGTAGTCCGCCCACACATGCACATTTGGTCTAACCTATTGCATTTGTACAGAGAGAAATGTTTCCCAAAACAATTAGTTATTTATCAAGTTATCCAATTGGCAATATTTATGATGCACAAGCAAATATCTGAATGAAACATTAAGCCAAGAACAAAATACCATTAAGTAACCGTGCTCGATGTGTACCACATAATTGTGGGGTGTCATGGCCTTGCTTTATATTGAGTGAGCAGGAAATCATATCGATATATGTACTTGAGCAGCGAATCCCTGGGTCTCATTTTTCGATATTAGGGATAAACAGGTGTTTTTAGATTGAATGTATTTATTAGCGGGAATGCCCGTCTGAGAAAGCTTATGGCGGCTTATTGAGTATTCTATCGAAGACCTTCACTTATACTCTAAAGGAAGGCCATGGATGTGGAATCATCGATTTTAACGAACATCTTTTTCGCGATACTACGTTGAAAAATTTTAGACACGTGTCAGAGCGTTCTTACCAATAAATTTTTTTGATCTGACTGACTATATTTTTGACTAATTTAGCGGAGGGTATTTTTCCCCCGATGCCATCACCTGTGGTTCAATTTTTTTTTTTTAAAGATAGTTGCTACTATTTACTATTTTATCTACTAAATTCCTTCAACCTGATGGTGAGCTATAAGCTTGAAATCCGGTCGTTGAAAACAACAAATTGTGAATTGGGGCTATCTTTTTAAAAATTTTGGACAACACACTCACTCCACCACTTATCATTGCTACGACCTGCAGTTTGTACGGTTCCCCTGTAAAGTATTCTGGATTCGTTTTAAAGTTATCAGCATTTTTGTGATTTCTGGGGAAAATGAATGGATTTGAAACACAAAAAATTTCAGAAGAATTATTTTTCGATTTTCCTAAAAATTTGAATAAGAGGTTTTTTCGGGTAGCAAAAGACGAATATCAACTTTGTTTCCTGTTAAAAATATGTTAACCTACTTTGCTACATCGCACGGTCACTATTGATTAAAATTCACAGCTAACCATAGAAAGGGTAGTCTACATTTGTGTCTGTACATATAAATAAGTACCATAAAGATAAATGTTAATAGTACTTTGAAGTGTACTTTGAAGGAACACAATTTCCACGTATACATTTCCCTTCTAAGGCTTAAGTATGTAATCAGTAAACAAATCTTCGTTGGGTGAATGCTGTTTATGTTTTTTTTAACGTGTCATGTGTATGCGCGACTGAAGTGTGCGCCTATGTATGTATGTAATAAATTACATTATAGTATAAGTATTTATAATGTACGTAAATGCAGTGACAAAGGAACGAATTGCATTCTTATGTTAATCACCACTAATCATTTGACACATATAAATCAATATTCACGCTTTTTATTTTTTTTACTTAATTTTTTTGTATCTACAACTGTACATGAATTACATACAACCAGCAGATTGGGAATTTTTAATTTTAATAGCAAAAAAAAAAAAAACGAGAAAATATTATTTTTTCAGACTTTCCAGGAGAAAAGCTTTGATTGGTTTAATAACGTTTGGAAGAAATTGTAGATAAATAATTAAATTACTCTATTCTTAGAAATCTTTGGAAATCATTTAACATAGCCCAGAAGGAAGTTTTGCACGTTGTTATTTTATAGTTCGAAATGCCATGACCTTAGAAATACCTAGTTCAAAACGTGAGCAGACGTCTTTGTGACATAGGAATGCAAAACCAAAAGCTTCATAGATAAATCTTAGAACTTCAAGATTTGTGGTAAGTTCGAATTGTCCATGGAAGGTTGGAGTGATCCACAGTGATATCTAATTGTTCGTTACTTGGTTAGTACTTGGTAGATACTTGGTTGGTACTTGGTTAACCATGTTACAAATATTAAAAAATATACTCACAACAGGCAAAACTCGTATATTGATGTAAGATAATAATATATTTAATAGTAATCAATGATTTTATACGAGAGTTTTTCTCACTTTACTAACAGAGGTATTTTAAAAAGCAAACGAGAAATGAATAAATACGAACTTCTACAATAGCAACAAATTGACTAGAGTTTCGTAGGATTTTATAAAGAACCAGATAGCTGCAAAAAAAAACTTCTCCGATATGGGAAGCCTGTTAAAAATGTCTTTCAACCAATAAAATACCCAGAAAAAAATGGTTATTTGGAGATCGTGAAATGCGGTCTGGTGTGACATAGGTTTTAGAAAAACATTTTCTTAGAAATGATAAATGATGGAGTGAGTGTGGTGTTCAATACTTTTTAAAAAGATAGTTCCTACCCACAGTAAGTTGTTTTGCAGCGATCCGGATTTCGAGCCTTTTAGCTCATCATCAGGTTGTAGAAGTCCTTCAACCTGATGATGAGCTAAAAGGCTCGAAATCCGGATCGTTGCAAAACAACCTACTGTGAGTAGGAACTATCTTTTTAAAAAGTATTAAACATTTTCTTTAACTCGCCAACGTTTCGATCTTTATTGAGATCATCTTCAGCGCTCAAAGTGTGTGTTGGGTGTTGCCCTTTGGCTAACGGTCGCTAAACACTACTCATCAAAATAAATCTCATTAGCACATTCATACCAATTAATTTAATTAGCAATAGTAAATAATATTTATTCAAAATTAAAAAAGATGAAAACTGTAATTCTGCGAGTGAAAACCAGACAAATTTTCAAAACAGAATTGTTTT